GTATTGATTGGAATTTTGAACGAAAACTTTCCAAGCAAACTTTGTTCAGTTGGCTTTAAAGAGTTAGTACAAACAAACAATTTAATTATAAGTAGATTTATACAAGTTTGTTTAACAAACCCTCTTCTTACCCAATGCTATACAATGCTGCGGCATATATGTTAAAAGCTGCTGTTATTTTAAAGATTTTTTATTCCAACTTAATTCATTGCACCTGTGTCACCTACGGGGTAAATCGAATGACAGAAGAAATAAGAAATCTATTTTCATTGGTGAATGATTTTATAAATTTTATGAAAAAAGTTTTCTTAAATCAGTAATTACAAGATGGGGATCGTGGCTTGAATCAGTTTTCTGTTACTTTAAACACTGCAATGAAATCGAATTATTAATGTCAGAGTTTAATGATGATATTTCCGAAGCAATTCGATATATAGCAGATAATTCAAGGGGGCTCCAAGGGAGGGGGAATGGGAGATCATGCATATAACATTTTAAAAAATGCTAAAGAAAGGTCTTCTAGTAGTTTGTACATGCGTCTTATGTCGTCACCTAATAAGGCCCCAACCGAAAATTCAGTCTGGAATCGCCCATACTATAAATCCAAGCTTTATTAATTATACATAATTTTAATATTTCAAAATATGCAATTTGCTATGGTTTCAATTGTTTTTGTTATTTGGGAGAGTAAAAGTGGTACTTTAATCCCTAAAATGAGTGAGTAAAATGCATAGTTTAGTCCCTACGGTGCAAAAATAAAATTGACTAGAAGCTAAGCATAGTTCTGAAACCTTAGTTTGCAGTCTTATAGCCCAAGAGCCCACTGCAAATTTTTACCGTCATCTGATAACGAAATGAAATATACCCCAAAAGCATGTAAAAACATTGTACTTTACCAAATGGCACCTGTGCCAATCCCAATCCTGAGCAAAGTGGTTAAAAAAAATATTTTATATTAATAAAATCAAATAAGACATGACAGCGCTAATTTTGTTTGCCCTTAAAGTTTTATAACTTAAAGTTTTAGACTATCTCTGCAAATGATTTATACAATTCCATCCTTCTTCCTTTTACACATACACATGGTTTAAAAGGTAGGTAAAAATATTAATAATTCAGGTTTAAAAGCTAGGTTCACAATGAATTAGGATTGTAATTTTCAGGGCAAACACAATGGTCGCTGTCATGTCTGATGTGACTTTTTGAATATAAAATAATTTTTTTTAACCACTTTGCTCAAGATAAGGATTGACACAGGTACAATTTGGTAAAGTACAATGTTATTGCATGTCTTTAAAGCATATTTCATTTAGTTATCAGAAATTTGCAGTGGGTCTCTTACTATTAGATAATACCGAACATTTTGGTACTTTTACGTGATTTTAGAGGTTCATTTTGAATGCATAACTCAGGTTGTATTGTAAATTACGCTCTGTATTTATATGATAAAATAATATTGTATGACATTTAGTTTATCTATCTAATTCATGTTGGTCAAAGGAATAATGAATAATATAGTTGCGTGCCGTCAGCAAAATAATGTATATTTACATGCTGCAATAATTTATGGAGGTCTGAAATATAGATTGAAAACAAAAGGGGACCAAGGATAGAGCCTTGAGGTATTCCTGATGTTGCACACGTAAAGCTAGACGATTTCCCTATTGATTAAAAAAAAATGTTTGTGCTCAAAAGTAAATTTAGTAGGTACAGATCGTAACTGAAAAGAATCAAGATTGCTACAATTCAAATAAAACTTATTTGACTGGTCAAATATAAATGATAATGATAGTCGAATACATTGTGTTCAAAAAGTCTTTTTATCAAAATGAAGCTTACCGAAACGCAAAGATTTGAAATTTTGGTAACGATTGGTTGTGTATACAAAACAAAGACGCATTCAAAACAATTAACATCACAACCGATAATAAATTTCGCAATCCACTGTAAGCAAAATTTAGAAGAAATTCAGAGAAATGGGTCACTTCCAAAAAATTGAGAAAAAGTCGACCATTGACCAAGTTCCCCGAATAACGAGTATCATTGAAAAATAATTGGAAAAAAGAAAAGTTTGCTCTACTATCTTAGGGACCTAAACATAAATGAAGCAAGTCATTGCCCATACAATTCACCACTGTTATTGTAACCATACATTACATATTAGAGCATATAGAATAAAGCAGGAAGAAGTTTACTAGGAACTAAGAGAAAGCAAAGCAGTACCACAAGGAAGTTTACTGAGACCTTTACTATATATACACCAGTGAAATTATGGAATTGGAAGATAATAGGATAGCTATTTTTGTAGTTAATGCAGCCATCTTGGCAGTATGAAAAGTTCATAAAGATGCAGCTAGAAAATTGGAGAACTTCCTTAATAAAATTAACGAATTAACAGGTTCAATGCCCACTGGACGCAAGAGTTTCTAATGACTGTCCGCGTCTAATTTACTGGACGCAAGAGTTTCTAATCACATACTGCGTCCCCTTAAATATAAATATACGTGTTCCTATAAACGGTGGTCTATTGCGATATATCTTTTAAAGCGAGCCTTGGACAAATATTTGCCCTAAAAAATCTAGACCCTGTTGTTTGCTATAAATATGGAAAAAATATCCTGGTATCCAGTTAACTGGACAGTGATTAAAAGATGTCAATTTAACAGAAATCTTCAAAATATATCCAAACTAAGGCTACAGTGACATATTTTATAATTTGATCACTGAACCTGTCAAGCTAAATTAAATTAAATCCTAAATTTTACAGATAAAAAGAATAAATAATATCCAAATAACCTACGGATAAAATTTTATCAAAAAATTTTGGTTTGTAGAAAAATTCGTAGAATCCAATTGTTTTATTGAAAAGAATGTAACTTAATTTGTTGAGGGTGGCTCCTCTCTCTTCTCAACTAGGGGATGGAAAGTTTATGTGAATTTCTTATTTGTGGGAAAATACTTCCATATACTAAGTTTGGTATTTCAACCCGAACTGACCTATCCCCAAAAGCAGAACCCAACCAGTTTAAGTATTGTATTATAGAATGATAAATAATTAACATAATATTATAGTTTTCATTTATTACCGAAAATCAAGGATCTGAAAGACAACGATTTGATATATGTAATGTTCAATGAGCCAATATTTTTTATTTATACGAATAAATGCTCAAATGCATTAAACAAAACTAATATTTTCTATTAACGCAAAAAAGAAAAATCCAAATAATTATATAAATATAAATTTTTGATGATTGTTCACTGAAAATTATTTATTTGTTTTTGTTTTAAATCAGTTGAGACAGATTGAATCTAGGTAGGTATATATCTAGTAGATGACTAAGAAATGCGATTGATAGGCGAACGACTTTTTAAACATTTCTTTATTGTGAAAGGTATAGTAATACTATTTCTTCTTCTTAAATTAATATTGGGGATATTCAATATATTATTTTCTCTTATTAAAACAAAATATTGTAATTCAATTTAATAAAATATATTCTATTTGTATACAAATTATTCTTGAAAAAAGTCCCGCTTCGCTTAAAGATCTATAATTGAATTTGTAAATTATTTAGCTGCAGGTATACAGAGGAAATAAAAAATAATGATTTATACATTGAAAAAGTAAATTAGTTTTAAATTAATAAAATATTCAAGAATGTTGATAGGAATTAAAAATTAGATCCAAGTTAGATTCGTTTAAATTAGAAAAAATTCAAATATATAATAATAGGAGTAAATAAAATTTTTATCAATAAATAATTCAGAAATTGTTTAAATAATTTTTATTATTTTTTTTTATTTCTATATACCAATTGATATTTGTAGAAATAATATCTGGGTACTATGTTTAGTGAGATTGAGGAAAAACAAAAACCATTTTTCTCAAAAGTCGAAAATAACCAAAAATGAATTAAATTGCACACATTGTACTGCCTTAAACTAAAAAATTTATGAAATATGAGTAGTTACAATAAACTTTAAAAAAGGGCTATTTAATATTCAAAAATATTTGCTACAATTTATTTACAGTCCCTAAATTGTGTATGTTTATTTTATTTAAATATGCAAATTTTAAATCTTTATTTAAATACTTCTAAAATTTCTTACTTTTATTTTAAATTTTATGTTCTTATTTTATTTTACTCTTAAAATATAGTTTTTGTTATTTTAAAAGTACCGTGTAAAGGACATTAATAATAATAAAAAAAAAAAATACTATATAAATCAAAACTTGGATACGATATTTAATTCATATCAAAATTTTCAAATATTTTTTCTGTATATGAATTTAAAAGTAGGTTATTCCTCTTTTTAGTATAAATAATTTTTTCTTCATTTTCTATGTGCACTACCAACATTTTCAAATTTGATTCTTGATTTCTAAAGACATTGTGAAGAATCTTTTTTTAAGCAAACTGCATGTGCATTCCTAACTTTTTAAGATAAAAATATAATTTAAATAAAAAAGTATTCAGAAGAAATTGAGAGAAATTTCTGATATATACACTATGTCTAAAATTATTGTTTAATAAAATATTATTTTTAATAAAAATCCTTATTACTAGGAATCAAATTTATAAAATATTTAGAGGTATATAAATATTGACTTATACTGAAGTACATTTAAATTCAAACAGAACAAAATGTCATTTAAAATTATGTTTAGATTTATGGCTATCCATAAAAATATTTATAATCAGTGCATTTTTTGTTAAATGGTTTTTGGAAATTTTTTGAATTTAAATCTGGAAATTGATATTTTTATACATAGAACATGAATATAAAGTATTTTACTCTTCAGAATAAATGAATATTTTTTATTTTCCCTATATACTGCCACTAAATATTTTACACATTTAATTCTTCATTATTGTTTTCCAACTGATAAAGGATTTTTATCTAGAATATATTTTTTAAATTAATAATAAAAAAAATTAAGACATGCTGCATATGTAAGATTGGATATAAAAATAAAAAAAAAAATACATTCTTACCTGTTTGAGAAAAAATAGGCACGATTTTTGAATAAAATTAACCCGAAACCGGTAGAGTATTTATAAGTAGTAGTACCAGCAAACACTCGAAACACCAAGAACTAAAATGCAAAAGAATAATGATGGTGGTCGCGCTTTATAGGTCCCGGTCCCCCACTCGGCTAACCATCATCAGTCCAGCGCCAGTGGTCTCCCTGTATCACTTATACTAACGTGTCTTTCAAAAATATCTTCTTTAGATGTTATGTGAGGATAATCTTCGTTGAAGAAAAATTCTAAACACAACATTTTAATGTAACGTTCTAGCGTAATTTCTAATAAAAATATTTTTTTATATGAATATGTCAAAAAAACGTCGTTTTTCGGACAAAAAACAATCGAAAAGTAGAACTTGTCTATACAGGTTGTCTTCAAAAGGTTCAGATGCCTAACTGCACGAGCCATAAAACTTATTATTTTGAGACGGATACAGTTAATTTTGAGCATATGAACCATGGAAACCATCTGTTTACACTTTTAAAAAGATTTATTTAATGTAAAATTTTCATAAATAAGTATTTGAAAATTATTTTAAGCTGTAACTAATGGATAAAGTATACAAATGCAACTAAATATTGGGACGTTTCAGTAAATTAATATAAAAACAATTTTTAATAAATTGCGACTCCTTTTCAAGCTTTATACAAAATTCAGGGGTTATCTTTTGCCAGATTTGTTGTAATTTGGCATGCCAAATATTTTCGATTACATTTGTCGGTTAAAAAGGATAGCGAAACTGTTGTTAAATAAAGTAGTACGTAACCCCTGCTGTAAAGTATCAAATATATTAAGAACGGCCCATCTAATTAAATACTATTTATAATATGAATTAAAGATGAGAATTTTCCACACATATTTTATTTGTGCCACTTAGGAAAGTGGCACATATTGCACTATTTAGTCTGGGAAGCGCCCTATATCGCACGCTTGTGAATAATAATCAACTTTCCACAATTGTGTAAATATGAATCTACTTTCCGCATAAGCTGTTTGACATATTTTGTGACATACGGATTTGCGTTTATTTATTTTATTAATTTTTATACTCTGATCCTAGATATTTATTTTTAATAAATTATTAAAATAATTTTAAAGTAACTACATTATTTTTATGTTTTTTTCCTGGTTCATTTACATATTTGATTAGATAATTCAAATGATAGCTCAGTTCATTGAGCCCTCTCCCTTATAATCCGTCCCTGAACTGACAAAGAAAACCAAATCGTACTCATAAAAAGTCATCATGAAAACAGAAAATAATGGGGGGATTTTTGAGATCATAGAACGACTTAAGAAAAATTAATATTGGGTAGGAATCAAAGATTCTGTTACAAATATTATTAACTCATATTTGTCAAAAAACTATGATAACAGAAACTAAGACAATACATTTTTAGGTTCTTATACAATAATAAAATTGCTGGATAAAAATAAAGCAGAAATCACTATAGTTTATTTGAAAATGACCCAGGAGGTAAACCCATAAATGTGACTGAAAATTTCTAAAATAAAATATTTAGCATTATTTGTTTCAAAATAATATCTTCGGTTTTTCCTAAAATTTTTAAAAATACCAATTTATTTCAATTTTTATCTTAAATTTTCTAGTCATTTTAATCATCAAAAATGTAATCTCTACAGGTAGAAAATATTTACAATTCAAGATCAATTTAAGTAGTCCTCAACTTTCTTAGAAAGAATTAAAATAGTAAAATATTGTAGTTAAGATTTATATTTATGTTTGTATAGTCCTGTGATTGTAACACGCAGAATTGTTAATTCTGTAATAATAGGCAATAAAAATGGCACAAACTTCTAATTATACTCCTGTAAAATTCAAGTGCAATTTAACCGTGTATATGAAAAGTTTAGTCTTAAATGTACATGACGCTCTTTTACATGAACATTTCAATAATACTGTTCGGAGTATAGTTTCTAAGCCTTCAAATATGGCCGGTGTTGGAGAAGCAACTTTTATATAAGTAGGTATTACAGTAGTATATAAAACGTCAATTGGGAGAAAATCCATTTAAATAGGCGGAACTATGAAACAACTGATCCGAAGAAAAGTGCATTCGTTTTATTTACAAAAAAAAGATAGCAACATTAGATAAACTTGTAGTAGACATTAATGGAGATGAAACTTTGCCAAACGTTAAAAAAAACAAATTGTGGAAAACTACATGAAATAGACTTCGTTTGAGAGAACAACGATAGAAAATCTGCGCTCATAGAGAAAGATGAAATTATTTGTTGTAAGAGGCAATATTTAAGGAAAATTAGAAAATTAAGAAGAGAAGACAAAAATATTTTTTATTTGAATGAAACATGGATAAATGAAGAACATTTTGTAAAAAAAATTTGGCAAGATAAACATGTTACAAATACTCGTCAGGCATTTATAGGAGGTTTATCTACTGGCTTAAAATTTCCAAATGGTAAAGATCGCCGTTTAATTATAGTTCATATTAGTGGCGGCTCGTGGGCACTAGCAGCAGTGGGGCACACACTGGAAAGGAATCCGGGGATTCGTTTTTCCCTTAGGAAAACAAGTTCTCCGCTTAATGAAAATTAAATATATTTCAAAACAAATTAAATATTACAAAATTGAAGACTAACTGCTAGGTACCGCTGCAGTTGTATACTATTTCTTATAATTGAAGTCCATTCTTCTGGATTTTTGGCTAGCGAAGTGAATGGACCGAATAAGTTTTTTTTCGATGGATAACATGGCTAACGCGCACAATGTATCTTGGCACATAGTGTTCCTTAAAAATGTTTTAATACGTTTTAGTGTCGAAAAACATCTTTCACTCTCCACTGTGGTCATGGGAATTGTACACAGGATAGTTAGCAGCTCCACAGATTCCGAAAATGTAATTGTCAAATTGTTCTCAAAAAACATTTGTAATAACGGTACAGCCCCATTGTGTTGCACAAAGTCATCTCGGGTCTCGGGTGTAAAGTATGGACAGTTCGTTTTTGAATTTTAAGCTGTTTACGTTTGGAAATAAACTACACACAGTTTTAAAGTCCTTATTCGGAAAACAACCTCGGTAGTCTTTAAATTTTTCACTATCAAATAAACTTGCAATTGTTAGGTGGGTAGTAAAACTAAAACGTTCATTTACCTGCACTACTATTGTATCACAAATTTCCTTACATATCCTTAAATTAGGAATGAGGTCCTCCTTTTCAACAAACCGTCTCTTCTTGCTTGTACTTGGACCTGATTGGGTGTTGTCGTTTAAGTTTAGTTCTTGTGTGTCTTGTTGTGATTGCCATTTTTCATGAATTAGCGTGTCTATATTATTTCTAATATTTTGAATAGCTGCTGCTGATATGTTTATCTTAACCTTGAGAGCATCGAGCTGTCTACTCTGCAATTGATCAAAAAGTATATCCTAATTTGGCATTTTTTGCTGGAGAAAAATAATCAGTAACTAAAATCTGTCTTTCAAAATTTATCTACCCTTTAGTCTGATTAATAGTTTTTTATCGAATTCTGTGTTCATAATTTCTTCGAGACATTTAATCAAATCCTCTTTATAAACATAAATAGTATTGACACACTTCGATGTAAAATTACATCGTGTAGGAGCATTTTAAAGCATACTACTCTGAAGAAAAGGTGTTTGGCAATTTAAAATCTCCCAGCGAAAAATTTCTCTTTTATATTTTCAAATTAGAAAAAATATTTATATCTCTATTTGATAGTTTGTCAACTAAGCCTGGAATTTCCAAAGCATACCTTTTTGAGATGAGCAAAATATAATTTTGTCATCCTTGCCAACAATTTGCGAAAATGTACACCATTAAATGATTTATACTCTTAAATATACATACAGAGATTTGAAATCCTCAAAAAAGTCAGACAAAACCAGAAGAAAAATTAAAATTTTTTCCCATTTATTAATATTATTGATTTTTTTCATCATATTTTTGACTGCTCTATAAAAAAAAGTTATTTTTCTTTGTAGTTTTATTTCTTAACTATTCCAATGGTCCAACTAACGTTTTTTTAGTAATCACTATAAATAATTTATTATCATGGTCCAATAAACGCGCACCTTAAGCCGAAACCGGCATCGCCTTTGTGAGGGAGCCGGTAAAGATGCCGCTGCGTACATTCGTATCTGGTCTAGGTAATCTGTGCCATGGGTACAACACGTCACGATGAGGACAGCGCTTGTGACGTATAATCCATCGCATATGTTCATCTCTTGCTAAGCGATATTGTCGTTGTCCTTGTTTTTCGCATCATAATGAGAGAGAAAACAACAGGGGCACATATTTACTGTGCACGGTGCCCATCTTCCACTTAATTTTGGAATTCTCGGAACGTTGCTCAACGCCCGGTCGTCCAGTGTCGTGACAACGCGGTTTTCGCTGAATATTAGATAAAATAATAATAGGCATTGAAGAAAATATAAAATATGTAAGTTATTTTTTTTTTTTTTATTATACTAGGGCACGTGCCCAAGTGCCCTTACGGGCAAACCGCCACTGATTCATATTGGAGGAGATAAAGGATTTGTTGATAGAAGTTTGTTAGAATTTGTTAGACAAATTCTACGAAAGACTATCATGAAGAAATGACTGCTGATGTTTTTGATGAATATTTCAGTCAAATGATAGATTTACTCAAAAAAGAGCTATTGCAGTTATATAAATAACATTTACCAAAATTTAATAATTATAGTGTAGATGAAATAGTGTTGCAGTTAGCACCAAATCACTGTGAACTAATCTGAGCTCAAATAAAGGGATATGTCGCGTGAAACAATACAACATTTAAACTTCAAGATATTCGACAACTATTATTATGTGACTTCATATCAAAAATTTCTCCGAACAGTTGACAAAACGCTATAAGACATGTCATAGCAGAGGAAGAGAAATTTTGTAAACTTGATATGTTAATAGAGGAAACAATAGAACCAATTATTATGTCTGTGGGAAGTGAGGAAACTGATGATGATGACTCCTTATCGGGAGAAAACGACTTATTTAGGTATGTAACTCTATATTTATATTAATTATAATATGTTTATATGACGGTAGTACC